CATTGCAGACCGTGGGCACGATTTTTAAAGTCGACAATACCGTCTTGTCTTCCAGTGTTGTTGCACCGATTTTTTTCCAATTTGGGAGAATATTGCTCATGATAATGAGCGCAACAATACAGACAGCGTCCCAAGAAACAAAAACAATGCGGGGTGAGAAAACAAAGGACGCATCAATTAGACTGGCTTTGACGTGCACTTCGACTTAAAAGTAATTTTGCATGATAATAATTAACACTTCTCATATATCTATATGAGAAGTGTTAATTATTATTATGCAAAATTACTGCAAAATTACATATATCTTCTCATTAACACTTCTTCATGAAATAACAGCTTTTTCTCGTTTTTCCCGTGTTGTGGATTGCATGGTCCGAAAGCGAGAACTTGCACATCATAATGCCGCCAAAACAAAGATTTTGAACTGACTGCAGCTTTTTTATGCGGTTTTTGAGAGTATTTTGTGCTTTCGATATACAAATTCATCTTTTTTTCTTCCAAGTTTTCTATAAACAACCTTCACTTCTTATGAGGGTATGTATTCGAACAACCTTCACTTTTGACGTCCTGTCTCTAGACTACCGAAGGTATGCAATGAAAACAGAGCAGGTCCGAGCCCACAGCATGCTGCCCCTCTTTAGAAGACTGCCCCTGAACTCGTGCGTACAAGCCATTTTTTCACGCGCTCGAACGAGCTTCATTCCCCTCCCACCATGGAGGAGGCATGCCGTAGTCTCACAAGCACGAGGTTCCCGCAACGACTCTGCGTCTCGAACCGTGGTGGGGACTGTCTCACCCATCCAGATTTACAAGGGCCTTGAGAAATGCTGGCTTTCGCCATTTTCGCGTTCTTCAAGGTAGATATCAATATCAGCACGTCGCGTCGCTAAGGATCTTGTTTACCTCAAGTAGGCAAGACTTTTTTATCGACGAATTGCCGAGCCACTGCCTTCAAATGACATTCTGTAAAAATTACGTACCTGCTTCAAAGGAACTCGAGCAACACATTTCGCAACATACGATGAGTTGTCATTCTAAAATACAACAATGTTCAAATTGATGTAGAAGCTAGTGTACCTGGCCGTTAGAAAGTGTGTGATGATGACAACAATTGCGCGGAAAGAATGTTGTGCCGGTGAGTGCTGGTAAGTTGCTTGCAACTCGCTCGTAAACTGTCTTTACGCGCAAATGTTGCTGACAACATAAGATTACTATTTTTACCATTAGCTCTATAAGCCAAGAAGTAGTCATCTTACCTACCTCATTTTCAGGCTTCAGTAAGAATATGCTTGAGCCCAAAGCGCATCCTACAAATGCATAAGGACTCGTCGGATCGTGCTTGAATCTAAAAAATAAACTCTGATTTTATATTCTCAAGGCCGTGCAAAAATTTGCGTGCCAGCACCGTTCCAGCGCCATGTCAAAAACTGATCCAGCAAAACAAGAGCTTGCAGAAGTCAGACATATGCAGCGCTCTACAGCCTTGGCACGGATTGGCACAGCGCCGACACGGCGTTGGAGCGGCTCTGGCACAACTGCGGCAGAAGAGCAAATTTGGACGGCTAGCTTATGTGCTGTTAAACAGTAAATGAATAAAAAATATCTGAAAAATTACAAAATTGTCATAAAATATAGGAAATATTTGCTTAGAGTTAGCACATAAAATTTACTACTGACCTTACTTCAAATGGAAGTGCCCCATCGCATATCGGTAATTCTATTGTTTTCAACTTCTCGTGGGTTGACCACTTATAAACGTGCACGGAGTGGCCATAGTTGCCTGAGTTTTACAAAAAAATTAGCTAAAATTTGAAAAAAATATTTCCAGATACCTTTTGCCAAATCAGTCGGATCGAAGCCTTCTTTGATCCGTTTCGGGCTGCCCCATTCCGAAGAGATCATTACGTCACGACGAGGTTGATACCAATAATCGTAACTGAACGGTACACTTTTGCTATCTTCTAGATAGCAATCCTTCGGCTCGAAAGTTTTCCCATCAATTAGGAGGAAGTTTCCTGAAATAAGTTAAATTAGTTTGCAATCGTGAAAAAATGTAAAAAGGTGCTAGGGCGATGAATTTTAGCTACACGGAGATTGTCAAGAGCGTATGACTGTCTTTCCTACTTTATTTTCCGAGGTATAGAAAATACCTTTATTATTATTATTCCCATCTCCGCATGTGTTGATCATGATGTTACCGTCTGCTAGGCAATGACAAGTATGGGGGAATGAGGCATTGTAGTTTTGAAGCTCTTCTGGACTGATTATCTGAAAAACATTTTTGATAAAATAAAAAGCAGAAAAAAAGTTTAAAAAATAGATAAGAAGAAATGGAAGTAAAGTAGATTCGCGTATATTTACCAGTTCACTTTAGTTCAAATGGTTGAAAAGTTACTTTGAAAGGGTGCATCTGCAGGCCCTAGAAGTATTGCACTTATTGGACCATTTCATTTTTCAAAATTTATAGAGTTCGGCCTTTTTCAACCTTGGCATTATAAAATTGCTCTGATGGGATTGTGGTTTATAAATTAATAACGATCTGGAATTCTCACAAAATAAAATAAGAATGAAAAATATGAAAATATGAAAACTACCTTGAATGTTATATCAACAGGCATTATTATTTATGTGTATAGGAAAACGACGGTAATTTTTTCTAGCTTCTTGGTTCTCAGTAATAGTTTTCCTAATTTTGCACAACGCTGCAAACCTGAAAAACAAAATTGCATACTCTCACCTTGTCCAGCCGAATATTTCTTTCGTCTTCAACATTGACAAAGTAAATTCGACTCGAGTTTAAGCATGGCAATATTATATGGGTCCTTAAACTCAATTACTCTAGGGTTATTTAACTTTATAAAAATCTTATACCTCTTGGCAGAGGGCTTGTCATGACAAGACGAGCATGCATTCCATCCAGTATGATGTACTTCATCACCAACGTATGGAAGCACGCATTTGGACAGAATCTTGGAAAAAATATTTTAAATGGAGTTTCACTTGTGAGAAAAAATCATACCTGACAGAATGTATCACTTTCTTCGTCAACATCTATAGCAACAAGCATATCATTACTGTTCCCAGATGCATGTGGACATGTGACGAACAGTACCTGTAGTAAATAAAAATTTTTTTGCAGGATGGGGGGG